GGCATAGATTTGTTGATATACTGACTGCTTTTTACTGGTACTAGTAGACAGTTAAATTCTTTATTAGTTTTTACTCAAACCATATTTTAGCTGAAAATCATTCTTTTACAGACAACTTTGAAATTTTACATATAGAAAATAAGGGCATTAAACTAAACCATTTAGGAACACTTGAAATAAATAGATTTAAAAATTCAGATACTGGATTCATACGTTTTAAATAGATATTTTAGAGTAAAACAATATGAAGCATATCCTGAATTGAAAGAAATTAAAGCAGGAGTACCACAGGGAAACTTCATGGGACCCACTTTATATCTCTTATACACTTGTGATGTCCTCCAACTAGAACAAGACAGTTTAGCTACATTTGCAGATGATACTGTCATCCTAGCAATAGGCGAAGATCATGAAGAGGCTGTAAATAAACTACAAACATCAGTTAATCCGTCATATACAGAATGGCTCATTGGAAATGTGACACAGAACAACTGAAAATAAGTCGATATTATTTCTAGTAGATTATTAGAGCAGACTTGTTTTTGAAAATTTTAAAGCAACATACAATTCCTTATAAAGTAATTTCTTATCTCATCGCACTCAGAATTTTGGCTTCTATTTGTATATTTCGTATTTTATCGTCTCTGTAACTAAAAACCCTTTTCCACATTTTTTAGGTTTTCGCACAGATCTAAAATAAATTAAAACTAATATATAATAAGAAGCAGAATTGTATGCTGCAACATGCGTGAGTTTTTCCAATGCCTACTTTAGAATAATTTTGCTTTCAAATATTTTCAATATTAATTAAAAACATCAAACAAAGTAAAATGTTGAAATAGTATATTATTCAAAGAGCGGGTAAGTAATAGCCATTACACGCGAGTAGAATACTATTCTTTTTCTATCATTATTAAATTAAATAATAAAAACCAGTTGGGCAATATACAACATTTTGACAGCTGGAGCGACAACGTGAAAGTGAAGTTGACGGTTGACGTATGTTACCAACACTGTTGCCATACAGGTTTTATATTGAATTTTCTAATTGGTTCTTAAATAGTTAAGTAATGACATTTCATTGGTTGAAAATAATTGAGTAATGAAAGAAATAATTGAGTAATAAAAAAAAATCACTGTATTAGTAACCACTTACATTAATTTATGTATAAAACGTATATTGTTAGTCATAAAAATCCCTTTTATGCCCGACTATGTTATTGTGTATCAATAACATCTATTTCATTAAAAATAATATCAGTTTGTCATTCGAAAGTTGTTTATTCGAATCAAAAAGTTTTGATCGTAGCGCCTTTACGAGATATTTAAAATTTTACGACATTTGAAATACCTAGTTGTACCGTTTTGATTTAAATACCTCAAATAACTTTCTTGTATACTAGTTCTTTATTTTGAACGTAGATTTTAAGAGATTTTGATGCGTGTTATTACGCCTATAAAACTATAAATTACACATTAAAGTACTTTTTCTACACCCGTATTATAATAATGCACTTATATGCCCATAATCCGTTTCATAATGATACCCATTATGATACAGATTTTTCATTACGATACAGATTTTTAATCAATAGAAACCTACAATTTTTCAATCAAGCATGCTGTTTGATGTTTGTCCTAGGTTCCTATGTAATTATTTTAGTTGTCAAAACGTATTAAATTTTCGTAGGTAGCTAAACTTCGATAATTATAATATTAAAATGTCTGATATTAGCGATATAGAAGACTCCTCCACACATATCGGAGAAAGCAGAAAATACAGTACAAAATATTTTACCGCAAAAATCTAGGGAAATACCAATACCCGAAGTAATACCATTAATTACAATTTTGTAGAATTTTTTATAGAAATACCAGTAATTACTGTTATTGTGTTCAATACCAATATAAATATAATATTTATAGGTCTTGATTATTTATCGGGTGTAGAAAAAATAGCGTATGCAACTCTCATGTAATGGTTATTAAAACACTCGCATAAACCATACGAAACTCGCCTTTGGCTCGTTTCGTATCCCGGTTAATGCTCGTGTATTAATAACCATCATTACATGATCGTTGCATAATATACTATTTTAATTTAAAGAAAGATATGATAAACAGAATAAACCGCTATATTGCAGGTAAACAATGTTAAAAATGTATAAAATTGTTGATTTCTAAATTAGGAGCTGCTCATTAGTTAAGATTTGCTTCGGCAAAGAATTCCTCACAAGAACTATTTCTACTTTTGGAATATAATTAATATGTTCGCAGTACGTTTATCATGGGATATAGAAGAATAGAAAAAACAAACAACAAAATTCATTTTTATTATCTGTCAAAAGATGTTTTTATATTTTGTAATATAAAAATAAAACATAAAAAAAGCTTTCTGCACTTTTTAGACGTTTCTACACAATTTGATTTAACGCATTGTAAACTTACCAATATATGTATATAAATATAATTTTTGTAATAAAATAACGAATTTCCTTTCTTCCGCTCCTTTATAAAAATTTGACAACGTTGCTCTATGATAAAAAAAATTGAAATCTCGTCAAGTCCACGCATGACGTATTGTGGTGTGGAATATATTAATCTGATTGGCCATGACCTGATTATAATTTATTTTTGCGCGCTGTTTTCGATCAGCTGATACGTCAAATTCGTAAAAGCCACGCTTTTCGCCACATTACGTCACCGTGAGTATCAATCTGCGTAATATCATACCTTCTTTTTATAGTATCATGACGTTGCTTAATATAAATTTAAAATTTTCAAGTTATGTATATGAAGTTACGTGTTGTGACGTTTTGATGTCATGTTGGGTGAGGTAATTTTTTCTACATATAGAATTTGCAATGAAAGAAAAAATTTAATTTTTCATGTGTGAAGCCTCTAATGTAAATGTATTCTATTTCCTGAAATAATTTTTATAGCGATTTTTGATGACTTTTTCACAATTTCGTTCTTTTTTTGTACTGTTCAATATATTCAGAAAATAGTTTAATACCACTATATTATTATAAATGAAAATTAGCAGATTTATTACCTGTATGTAGAAAATTTCTCCTATACTAATACATTTGCTAACGCCCGCCTTCTTTGTATACGGTATATAAAAAATTTTGTTTAGAACAAAAAAGTTCCATTAATCATTAGTTGCAAATGAACTTCTCTTAATTAGTCTTTGACACAAATTATAGATCAGTTTTAGATATGCCGTTATTGGTATACTATTAATTTCTTAACTCAAAGATTTATATTGCTTCAAAACCCTACTAATTAATAATGTCCAAGTAAATTATGATAAATTACAGCAATCGTTGGCGTAGCTAACTACCGATTTTTTCGGTCTAGGATTTATTGGTAAAATTTTCTATTTATGCAAGAATCCCACATTATGAATATTATAACAATTATGGGTAGGTCATGCTACCAACTAGAGGCAGTCTAATGACGTTTCTAATGAAAATTTGGACAGCGTTGAATCGTTACTAATTTATCGATCCATTTGTTTTATATTTTTATGTATTTTGAAAGTTATCGTTACTGCAGTAAAATTAAAAATTTAAATTTGCCCCCTATTGAGATGCCGCTGTGTGAATGAACTTTTAATTATTAAAACCAGTACATCACCCAAAAGATTCAGGTTATATTTTGAAGAAATTAATTTATCTAAAAAAGGTTCCAATTTTAAAAATTTTAATAATAACAAAAATGTTGCTCTTGGGATTTTTAAGTAACTGACGTTTTATAATTAACAACGTCATAATCCATAAACATTCAATTACGAAGGGAAGTAAATTGATTTGGTCTCTTACCAATTCGCGTAAGAGGTGCAAAGTAACCGTTAAATTGTCGTGCACAATCCAGCAAAGGAAATCAAAACGTGAGCTCTAAAAGAACCAGGAAACCAGCTTTTACGTTACTTGTTTATGGACTCGAGGATTTGTTGAAATAATGGGCTCGTGTATTTATACTGGCGGTCTTTTAATTGAATAAACTAAAACAGTAATACAGTTACTGATGATGATATGAAAAATGCTAGAGAAAAACCAAACGAAATAAGAAATCATTAATATCTTTTTTGTTGTTGTGTTTTTAAATTTATTAGAATTATTTGGCACCTTCACATCGGTGCAACATACAGGGTGGTCCTTCTTTACACTGGAAATAAATTATTTAGGTCCGCATTATAGATAATATATTTTTCAAAGGAAAAATCTCATTCTGTATATCTATAATCTGTGATTCTCAGAAAGGTAGGTACGTATTTATTTATACCACTAAAAAAATTTTTTTTTCTAAATAAATTCATATATTTTGGCAAACCTCGTATACACCTTAAAAAAATTGATATCTGATGGTTGCATTTTAAGTTTTGGACCATGTAGAACTTTTTATCACAAATACATTTTTACGAAACCAATAATAAAAAAGTTTTCCATATGGTTCCAACTTAAGTAGACACACTGTATATCGAAAATTTGGGAGTATCGTAATAAAGAAAGGAAGGTACATCTATTACTTGCATATAAAAATATAACATAATTTTTCTTTCTGCCAAATACCACTTTAACCTGTCCTAAAGAAAACGACTTGCAAGATCACTTATCAAAGTTTTTATTTTCAATAAATTATAATTTGACCTAATTTGCCTCAACAAAATATTGTAACGTTCATTTATTTAATTCTATATTTTTTTTAAACACTTTTTTTTTCTATAAGCACATTGAAATAAAAATAATGTATGAAACACGGACGAAAAGGGTATTTTCGTACTCCTACTTATTTAAATGAGTTTATTTTTTTTTATTTACCTCTCAAAATAACAACTCAAACTCAATCTTCTTCGATAAAACTGCTATGCGATTCCGATTGCAGATTGGACCATGTGCCACAGTAGGACACAGTGACCAGGCCTCCTCCACTTAAAAACTCGGATGAGTTTAATGTCTTCCACTGGTAAATCCGTATCCGTAATTCAGTCCTGCTGTAACCTCTGTTGCAATCACGACGTTCGTGCGATCGCCGCGTAGACAATGAACACGCGGTTTTAAAAATACGAAAAGTTACTAGAATTGTACTTTTTATTTCGTAACGAATGTTAGAATTTGAAAAAAATTTTGTTCGGTATTATGGAAATTGAAATTAAAAATAATTGATCGATATTAGTTTGTTGTTTTAAATTGGTAAGATTAATATTTTTTACTTTATGTTTTTAAAACTTGTTTAGGTATATTAGGGTTGATTTTGAACATGGGCTTTTAAAAATAAGAAGTTAGATAGTTTCAATTTGCATTTCGTATGTGACAAATGTTTGTTCTATAATGTATAATTCGAAAATATAAATAATTGATCGAATTAAGTTTGTTATTTTAATATTTTTGCCTTATATTGTAAAACTATAACATTTATATTAGGGTTAGTTTAGAACAAGCGATTCTAAAACTAGGAAGAAGTTAGAGAATTGCACTTTGTATTTTTAAATCAATTTTGTGTTGCAATATAAATAATCAATTGAATTTTGAGCGTTTTTAAATTAGTAAGATTAATATTTTTACATTAAAATTTTAAAACATATAAATTTATATTAGGTTTGATATTAAAAAAGTGCTTTTATTTCGTAGGTACTAAATGTACGAATTTTAAATATTTTTATTCTGTATTATGGAATTTTAAATTATAAATAATAGATCGAGTTTATTTTGTTGATTTAAATTGGTAAGATTAACATTTTTACCTTGTATTTATAAAACTCATAACATTTATATCAGAGTTGATTTTCTAATGTTAAATTAAAAGTTCAAATAGCAAAAACTTCCATTATTTAAGACTGTATCTGAAAACAATGCTGCAGTATAACGTATAATATATTTTTAACACGCTTCAAAATGATTTCATTTGATATCATACGATGGCATTAAATTAAAACCCTTCCCCCCAACTGACTTTTAAGACAAAGTATTTGAATTTTTAGTTAACGCCTAATTTGGGCCACTGATTACTTCAAATATCAATTGTTTACGTCAAATAGTCTTAAGAGTCTCAAATGGTCCGAGTTTCAATTTACAAACTGGTTTGGAAAAAGATGTTTTAAATGCAATAGGAAGTATGAAATCTAATTCAGCAGGTTCGAATGGTATAACTTTAGATATGATAAAACTTTATTGTCCACATATTTTGCTTCATTTAACACACATTTACAACTTTTGTTTGACAGAAAGGTATTTTCCTATTAATTGGAGAGTGTCATGCATAGTCCCTTTGCCTAAAGTAGCAAATCCTAAAGAAATCAATCAGTTAAGACCTATTAGTAAATTGTCAGTCTTATCCAATTTATTCACAGATGGTACAATATTTATCAGATCACAATTTATTTGCCGAAAATCAATCTGGGTTTAGAACTTCACATAGTACGGGAACTGCACTAACTAAAATGCTGGATGACATAATACAGGCAGTGGATAAGGGGAAAATTACTACACTAATTTTATTGGATTACAGTAAGGCATTTAATACCTTAGGCAAAGAATTACTTTTAGCCAAACTGAATTATTATGGTTATTCTGTAGGATTGTTAAAACTATTAAAGAGTGACTATATGTGACTATAGACAATAATGAATCTAGCTCAAGAATGATTCAAAAAGGTGTGCCACAGGGCTCAATTCTTGGACCTCTTCTTTATCTTATATATACAATGGATCCTAACAATAATGCTGCGAACTGTACAATAGATCAATTTGTTGATGATACTCAAATTTACAAGAGTTTCATAGTTAATGAACTGGGTAATGCTCGCTTAGAGATAAATCAAACTCTCAGTGGCCTAAAAATAAATCCGGCAAAAACTTAAGCAATATGCTTTGATAATGTTACCAAAGTTATAAAAGATAACGTGAATATCGAAATTGATAATGTGGTAGTTAAGCCATGTGACTTAGTCAAAAGTTTGGCAATTTATATCGACACTAAATTGAGATTTAAGGAACAAGTTAGATCAATTGTCCAAAAATGTTATTGCTCTTTAAAAAAATCTATATCAAAGCAGATCTTTTTTGAATGCATCTCTAAAAATACAACTCCGTGAGACGTTAATATTAAGTCATACCAATTATGCTGATTTTGTTTATGGGCCATGTTTAGATGTAGACTCGTCGGTGAGGCTACAGAGAATTCAAAACTCGTGCGTTAGGCTCATTTTGACATTAACATCTAGAGATAATGTTTCAAATAAATTGAAAGATTTGGGGTGGCTTAATATGTTTAATATGTTTAATAGACGAAAACTTCATATGGCTTCCTTTGTACGCAAACTGCTGAGAAATAATAATCCAGCATACCTTAGGAAAAAAATTGACATTTACCTCGAATGTTCATAACCGAAATACTAGCCTTCTTGTTATATCTAAACATAGAACAACTCTCTACAAGAGATCTTTCTTATTATTATTGCCAATTTAGGTACTGATGGGACAAACTGATAGAAAAATTAATTGTTATTGTCTTCAAAATTTTAGTTTTTTTGTGTTTCATCCTAAGTATATCTTTTCCAAATTTAAATTTGATATGTTTTTGTCATGAGAGAAACGAGAAAAGACGAGACGAGAGAAAGGCGCTCTCGAGAGAGAAAGAGATAGATAAGCGCATCCTTTCTCGTCCCACTAGACGAGACGAGAAAGGCTCCTCTCGTCTCGCCTAGTCTCGTGGTATCACCACTAATAACACGATTCACAAAGTCAAAGTGAAATTCATTTTGTGTACTAGTGTTAAATTAAATAATGATAAACCTACGGGATTCTCTTGATATCCTGTATTCAAATTGTTTGATCGATACTTTGTACCTATCATTTAATTAGTTTCCTTGAAACAACTTAAAAGTTAAAAATGTGTTTTGACGAAGGTAAATATCGAATACAATGGCACATTTACATGAAAATCGTTGCTCATGAAATATGTATTGCTGTTTTAATTTAAAAATGCCGCTGTTTAAATGTTTCCGGAATTTCTTTGAACTAAAAAATATTTTGACTTATTTGTGAGAAATGAGTGCAACGAATAATAAATAAATAAATACATATTTAGAGGCTCACAATGTTGATCTCCACACTATTTTAATTTGTTTTGGAAAAAAGTTGTTTAACATTTTTAAATTCACTTTGAAAACAATTGATAGTGTATTTCTATAAAAATTGGAGTTTATACCTATTGTTTTATAAAATTAAATAGAAAAAAACCTACCTTAATAGAGAAAGAGATATTTTTAAAAGAAACAGAATACCTTAAAACTTTAATTGGAAGTATAAGAAGAAAAACAAGAAGAGAAAAAGAAAAATCTTTAAAAAAATATTATTTTTAAAAAGTAATTAAGTAATTAAGAATTATTGGGTATATTTTAACGGGAGTAATTTGGATTGAAACTACGATAAGACGCACCATTAATTTTCATCATAAATTGCTGTTACTGCTATTAATTATTGAACAACTACCTCCCCTTTATTTTTATATTTTTGTTGCATTGTTTAAAAGTTGTATTGTTTCTACGTCATAGATGTAGAGTAAGTTAAATTTTCGTTTTAATACTTTTATTTCGGAACCAATAACTTTGTTAAAATTTTATATATAAAATATATTTAAGATTTATGAACCAGTAAGTAGTTATCCATCTGTTACTGTACAATTCATAGTGTTAATTCTAGTTTTTTAAATACATGATTCAAATTTTTTTGTTCAGCATTCTTTAATCGATCATAAGCACCTTGTTAATGTACAAATAATAACTGAAAGCAAACTATTATTTCCATGCGATTTTACTTTTTCTAATAACCTATAAACGACTATATTTTATCTTTAAATGAATATTATTCAATACAAAAATGTTACTCCACTAGAAACATAATTATAAATGGATTCAACTTTTCCAAATGCTCTTTTAATATGAAGTAAATTTAAATCTGCGGGTACAACATTAATTTTAAGAACTTATGTGAGTAAACTGATGAACATAAAACATTTTTATTCTGCCTTTGATGAGCCGAAATTCTTTTTTAGTAAAAGCTTAAATACATTGATATCATATCATTAGTTATTTAATTAAGATATATTACCGGATGACTAAACAGAAGCACATACAATAATTTTGATGAGCCAAAATTATTTTTTAAAGAACCTTATTAATATTATTATTATATTTTTTTTACTGGGTGGGCATAAAGAAAAAATTATTGAGAAGTCTAGCCACATGTCTAATGATTAACAAATACTATAATATATTATAATAACAATTATTAAACTATATAAAAGATTATATTCTATATACTTTTTTTGATAAAATGATTTGTTGGAACAACATACCAATTAGTAGCCATATTATAATTTTTCACAGATACATCTTCCCATTTCCTGATCTATTAAAAAATATACAAAAACCTACAGCTGCGGGATACTATGGCATTTAAATAAGTATATAATTAATACATTCTGGTAAAAATACAGCTGTTATTGAATAGGTATATTGTCAAAACATCAAAGAGTGTTTATAGAAATTGAATAGAACCAAATAGTACATTATTTGTCATAATTCTGACACGACGGGTCAAAGGTTAGATTTTAAAGCTACTATTATTTATTATGGGCAATATTAATCTTATGAATGGACACATATTAATGAAAATGAAAATTACACTTCGCGTGAGAAACCTGTTGATTTTTACTATGAATTATGATACATTGTATATAATTGATACATTTAGATTACGGTAACATTGTAGTTTACCACACAAAATGGTTTAACACGTTTAATGCCACCATAAGTTCAAATATGATCTCCTGGGCATATTTTTAACGGTATATTTATTCTAGTTGCATTTTATACGCCTTTCGAAGTATACGTTACACTGCGTATAGACATGACGAAGGAGCTAGAACGAATGGTAAAATGCAGAGTACTCTGAACCTGTTGTCTAGCACGAATGAACAAACAACGTGGCCAATAGGTCCGATTATCTTAAGACTAATTTTAAAAACGATATCAGTTGAAATAAAAATCTCAAAATCCATACCACAATAATGTATGTTCCCATCATTGGAACTGTAATAAAAATATTTCTGTTGGACAACATTGTAATAAATATAAAAATTATAAATTATTTTTCTCTATAGAGGATTGAAGAAAAAAGCAAAAATTAAAA